ATTGGCTTCAGTTCTTCAAGAAGACTCCGCCTCCAGGTCTGTCTTGGGCGCCCTCTCTTCCGCTTTCCCTGGGAGTTCCACTCAAGCGCTTGGCGTGTAACATTTGTGTGAGCCTTTCGCAGTGTGTGACCCACCCAGCGCCTCCTTCTTATTTGCACAACTATAGGCTCCTGCCTAGCTGTCCTCCATAGTTCCAAGTTCGGCACTTTGTCCTGCCATCTCAGTTTCAGTATCTGTCTAAGGCATCTATTCATGAAGGTCTGTATCTTTGCTGTGCTTGCCTTGGAGACTCTCCATGTCTCTGCTCCATACAGCAGAACTGCCTTGACATTAGAGTTAAATATCCTAATTTTTGTGGTAATGGAGATGGCCGAACTTTTCCATATGGGTCGCAGGACTGTGAAAGCGCAGCGGGCTCTATTAACTCTAGCGCGTATGTCCTCCTCTGTGCCTCCCGTTTTGCTGATCTTGCTGCCAAGGTAGACAAACTCTTGCACATCGTTTACCTGTTTTCCGTCTATTGTCACTGGAGTCTCCTGGTTATTGTTAATTCTCATCACTTCCGTCTTTTCTTTGTTGATCTTCAGACGTACGCGCTGCGAGATGGCTCCTAATGCATCAACTTTTTCTTGCTTGTCCTGTAGCCTGTGCGAGAGTAAGGCAAGATCATCTGCAAACTCCAGATCTTCTAGTTTCCCCGTGAGTGTCCACTGAATACCTTTTCCAGAACTGGCATAGGCTGTGCGTGTCACCCAGTCGAGAACCACCAAGAAGAGGAGGGGCGACAGCAGACATCCTTGTCTCACACCTGTATTGACCTGGAACTCTTTAGACAGTTTCCCTGCATGGCTAACTTGGCATGAAAATCCATTGTAAAGTTGCTGGATTATTTCCACTAACTTAGCAGGTACACCATAGTGTCTCAACAGATTTCATATTGTTTGCCTTTCCACACTATCAAAGGCCTTCTCAAAGTCAACAAAGCAGGTGTAAAGCGGGGCTTGCCATTCTATCGTCTGTTCTACAATAATTCTAAGAGTGGCTATCTGATCTGTACAAGATCTTTCCTTCCTGAATCCTGCTTGTTCCTCTCTTAGCTTAAGGTCAACCGCCTCTTTCATTCTGTCCAAAATAACTCTGGTAAGGACTTTACTTGGTATTGACAACAAGGTAATACCCCTCCATTTTCCACACTGAGATAAGTCACCGTTCTTAGGCAACTTCACAAGGAGGCCCCTTTTCCAATCGGTTGGGATCTGTCCTGTGTTCCAGACTAAGTTAAGTAATTTATGAAGTCGATTTACTACTTCTTCCCCACCTTGCTTTAATGCCTCTGCTGGGATATTATCTGGTCCTGCTGCCTTGCCACTCTTCAAACTATTTAAGGCGTTGAGAATTTCCTGTCTGGTGATTTCCTCGGTATTGATGTTAAGGGGTTCCCCTGGCTCCAGGTCTGGTGGATCTTGAGGTGCTGGACCGTTTAGTATTTCCTGGAAGTGCTCTCTCCATCGTGCCAATTGTTCCTTAATTGACGTTAGAAGTTTACCATTTTTGCTCCTCACTGGCCTGTTGGGATTGGTTTTCCTCCCACTCAAAGCTCTGGTTGTTGCATAGAGCGTCTTGAGATCTCCCTTACTGGCAGCTGTTTCGGCCTGCTCTGCCATTTCGTTTATAAACAATCTCTTGTCATTTCTTAGTTTCCTTTTCACCTCTTTGGCCTTTTCGTTATATCGAGCGGCTGCTGCTTGTAACTTGATAAATGTAACTACTTTTTTTTCTAAATTTCGACTAAAATTTGTTACAATAAAGTGTTTATTTGCTAATGTAGGTTCTCATGGATATAACTAAAAATATGGAAACTACGTGGAATGAAATACTTAGAAGAAGAAAAAATAATTATTATATAACAGTAAATATAAATTATAAGAAAATAATAATCTAACTGTAAATAATAACTATATGAGACTTTGTCTATTACTATGCTAGAATATAATATATTTAGCGAAGAAGGCTGTTGTCGTATCTAATTTCCCCTGTACTTAAAGAACACATCAAAGTTGATTGAATCTGTTACTTTTTTTACAATACACATACTAATACATAATCATTAACTTCCCGCCCCTCCTCCCCCCCCCCCCCCCTCAAGTCTTAACTTTTATGCCATTCTATACCCATACTCCTACTACACATATTCTAACAACCAAATTAAGCAATAGCAAGAACTCTAGAACCAAATCGTCTACTGGCAATACAAAAACTAATTCTAAAACATTTTTATAATTTACAAGACGACCCAGTTTCCAGTTCGGAAACGGTCTATCGTCTGCATTGCACAACACAAACCAATATACCCACCCATTATAGTATTTTTAACCCCAAATGAAACCCTGTTTGTTTCTGTCCCAAACTCCCGCCAAACTCCCGCGCAATACCTTTGAGACATATATTTATGACGTGCATATGGTCAGGGCTAACTTTAGAACAATGAAGAGAACTGTGGCTTGGGTCTAGTTTGACATTTTGATAAACGTTAGTCATTGTAAGTTTTCAACTGGATTTTTTAGAAAATGGAAATAAATTCTCACTCTGAAAGCCGTGTCGATCTCCTGTAGTGTGATCTGTCCGTTCATGTCGGTGTCCACGTTCAGAAACATGGCTGTAGCCGTCAGGTTGTATGGCTTCAGGTCAATTTGAGCCAGAGCCATGGCTGGCAGTACAATCAGAAGGGCGTAGATAAGCGACATTTTTGGCTGATGAATAAATAGAAATACAATCAGAAGGACGTAGAGAATTGACATTTTTAGCTGATGAATAAAAACATTAAATTTTGAAAATTATTTTAAATAGGGAACCTTTGATTAAAACAAAAAGTCTTAATGATAAATGTTTACATAGTTGGTTTTAAGTATATTATTTTCTACGTATAAAAAGTGAGTATGACTACATCAGTTTGTGTTTTTGTTTTTTTTTTCTCTTTGTACACTGATTTCTTTTCTAAGGTTATAATTTATTGATTAACGTCATAATAAAATAAATTATAAATGACTAGTTCTTTATTCATAATAAATCACAATTATTTATGTATAGGCTTTCGACTGTTAATGATTAAACTCTAATGCTCTAGCTTTAGTGTATTGCAATGTAATTTGAAATCTAAAAAAATAGTATTTCTAGGTTTTAGTTCTTTTTACCTACTTCCAACAACATCTTCATCTTCTTCTGTTTTCTCAACCTTATTATATTAGCAATCTTAATGTTATTTGTTGTTTGCAAAATGTGTCAATATTCTTAGGAACATCTTTTTACAGTAGTTTATTTGTAAATACACTTTGGATCTTGCCATCGCAGGATGTTTTAATCGAAACAAGACTCTTCTGTGTTAGTACAATACCTTTTTTCCAAAGAATTTTTATATAAATTTAACACAAAATAGCAATAAAAATAACACAATCAGAATGTTAAATTGTAAACCGTGTCGCTTACCTCTGTATAAAGCAAAAACTTAGACTAAAATTAAACTTTCATTACACCTATAATTTATAGATTTCAACTTACTTATTTATGCGTTTCAAGTTTCCTTAAAACTAAAATGTAAAAGGCTGTTTTTTATCTTTTTATAACATCTTCGATCGTGATTAGACTCTCTTTTTAAATCTTTAAACCACTGGTAATACAACGTTTTATTTTTAATTCTACAGATAAATAAAAGATATTTAGTTCATGAGAAATCTATGCTCTGGCCGTGTGTTCACACATACTAAAAGAGATATTTAACAGTTCAGACACACTGTGATAAAAATATTTGACAGTTCATACACACTGTGATAGAAATATTTGACAATTCAGATACACGATAACATAAATATTTGATAGTTCATATACACTCTAACAGAAATATTTGATAGTTCAGACACACTAACCGAAATATTTGACAATTTACATACAATCTAACAGAAATATTTAATAGTTCAGACACACTAACCGAAATATTTCACACAAACACTAACAGAAATACTTGATACGAGCCGACCCGCATACGCCGCTATTTAGTTGTTTCATTTATTATCCACTTTTCAGTATTTTATCATTTGTGAATTCGAGATAACCCACAGCTCACTTGACTGGTGGGTGTGGGGGTGATTGCGATATGGTCTGTTGCGCATGCCTGGAGAGCGTGGGAGAGAGCGGGAGGAAGGTTAGATAGTCGGCTTGCGTCATGGGGGTGTCCACGTAGAAAATTATATATATCGATAGATTTCAGAGACACTAACAGAAATATTTGACAGTTCAGACACACGTTGTGACAGAAAACCTAAACTATGACAGTTAAGAAGCATTTAAATAGAAAAATGTGATGCACCGTAAGACATATTTTAATTAAAATGTGATGAAACAGTTAAGACCAAAAAGTAACAATATTTCAGAAATGTATTCCTAATGGCTTGGACCATAGACGATATGGGTTAGAGTTTAAAAAGAAAACAATTTATAATCCTAAATATACGTCAAGATAAATTTTAAGATTTGATGTAATTACTTTGTAAGACATTCAAGATTGAAGAAATTTTAAACATTTACATCCTTTGACAGATAGTCTCTCCGACTTAAAATAAACCATAAAATTATGTAATATACTAACTTTAAATGATACATCGATTTCTATGAATGTGATCAATTGATTAAATGTAGTCAGTTTATAATTTAGATTTTTGCTAGTTTACCAATTGCATTTTAGTCTTGATTTATCGAACTGCTCGGCATTACGTTCGCTATCTACTTTATAATTTGTCTCTTAATTAACCCGATTTCTAATCGCCTGAAGCTTCAAAACCTAAGACTAAAATAGCTATAACAAACCGCCAAAAACCATCTAATTTGGTATATGTTCTATAAAAGGAAATCACGGAGACAAATACATTGTTTTAACAAACATTTAGGTTTTGTGGACTTATTCAACGTATGTATATGTGACATCACAATAGATTAAAACGATACGAATGTTAGAATATTTGAATGGAAACTTTTATTTTATAAATATACTAAAACATCGATCCATCGATATGGCTTTAGGGGTGAACGACGACATTTTTCTTGTTGGGGGCGTGAAGGTGCTCCAGGTCAGTGAAGAGAATTGACCAGTACCTGTGGAAAAAGACCCGGAGATTATGTCAATGGATGTAGGGAATATTATATAAATATGATATTAAAAAATTTAATTGAAGCTGTATACTAGAAGCACCTGATCGCAAATACGCTATTAGCTGTGGTCTGATTTGAAACTTTTGGATATATAACTGACCGCTCATTGCCAATGAACCCGGTGATTAAAAACAAAAGAAAAAAGTGTCCGTAAAGGCAAAAGTGTAGTCTAAACTTTTTAATAAGCAATAAAATATATAAAAGGAAATGTCTAAATTTAGTATTGTTAGAAAAATATTACCTGACGTATTCGTAATGGCTAACAAATCCGTTGGCATCACTGTCCATCAGTTTGTGGAAGTTTTCGAAGTCGTGAAGGTCAAGCTGGTCATCGCCGTCCACGTCGTAGATGTCGTAGAGGGCGTGGGAGAGGGGGTGGAGCTCGGGCTGGTGGGCGTCCACGTAGCTGGTGTACTCTTGTCTGCTGACGCGGCCGTTATGGTTGACGTCATAGCCCTGGGTTTACAAAAGTTTCCATCAAAATGTTTTTTTAATATGAATAATTAGTAAAGTATTTTTTTTGCAATTAGTTTTCGATAGGCTTTTACCTAATAAAATTTGTTAACTTGAAAAATGTAACTATTTATTTTTTTTTTTAATTTCGATTAAAATCTGTTACAACGATGTGTTTCTTTGCCAATGTTGGTTCTCAGGGATAAAAAAATAATGGAAAAATACGTGGAATTAAATACTTAGAAGAAGAAAAAAAAATTATATAACAATAAATATAAAATATAAGAACATAATAATTTAACTATAAATAATAACAGTGTGAGACTTTGTCTATTTGTATGCTAGAATATATATTTAGCAAAGAGGACTGTAGTCGTATCTAATTTCCCCTGTACTTAAAGAACACATCAAAGTTGATTGATCCTACTCTGTTACTTTATTTACAATACACATACTAATACATAATTATTAACTTCCCGATTCACCCCCACCCCTAAAGTCTTAACTATTATGTCATTCTATACTCATACTCCCACTACACATATTCTATCAAGCAAATAAACAATGACGAGAACTCTCGAACCAAATCGTCTACTGTCGTAACAAAAATTAATTCTAAAACGTTTTTGTAATTTACTGGACGACCCAGTTTCCAGTTCGGAAACGGTCTATCGTCTGCATTGTACAACACAAACTAATATACACACCCATTATAGTTTTTTAACCACAAATGAATCCCTGTTTGTTTCTGTCACAAACTCCCAACAAATTCACGCCCGATCCCTTTGGGACATACATTTATGACGTCCATATGGTCAGGGCTAACTTTAGAACTATGATGAGAACTGTGGCTTGGGTCTAGTTTGATATTTTGATAAACGTTAGTCATTCCTAGGTTTTGAACTCTGGTTTCTCTTCACATCGAGTAAATATTTCGCCTTTTACTAAAGATTTCCATCCAAAGATTACTTATCGCTATGGACTATGCAGCCATCACCAAATCCAACAATGGGGTTGCGTCCACCCTTGTTCCCTCTAAGCCGAGAGACCCGGAGAGGAGCCACCCGGACTTCGGTTCGGGTCGCTTAATGAAATACTTGGACCCACCCTTTTCAGATACAGCGAAGTCAACCGATCAATCAACCACCCTCACAATTGAATTGCCTGCAGAAGAAAGTCCTGATCTTTTCTCTACTCAACCAACTTCAAATACAGCCACGCAGGTGGTCATTCAAGCTAATGGTCATGTCAATCTACGTGGACACATCAGCCGCCAACTCATCAGCCCACACCAAATTTTGCTAATGAACTACATCAGCTCACACCAAATTTTGCTAATGAACTACGGAGACACACTGTTCTTTTCGTCCGAAAGCTTCAATGTGGCTGAACTGGACAACACAACCAAACAGTACGGACCCTACTAACTACACATTACGATCTACCATTAGGACAAAATCAACGGTATAATAAGATGGGTTCCCCCGGCACTCAAAGATGATACCCTGCTCAAAGCACTAACAAGATTCAGTAAAACAGAACCATCAGTCAACAAAAACCCACTCACCAACAACCGAAGCTTTACCATCTTCACAGATAACCCATCAACCATCCCTCACTGTATCAAGTTCAACTACATAAACAAAGCGATTAACATTCTCATAGCCATCCCAGGAAGAAAACAAGCATGCCAAACATGCGCATCCACACAACACTGGACAAATAAGGGTCATCAAACAAATCAAAAGTCGCCACGACAGGAAACGAATCACTGCCAAGAAGGAAACCTCTCAACAACACAGGATACATGACTACCCGTACGTCAGCAACCGAGGGACCAACAACCAATCTCACTGACGATTGCAGCAGAGCAACCAGGCGGATCATCCACACCGCAGAAAAAAACAGAATCCCCAAAATCGGCAAACCAACAAGCAACTCCAACCACGACTGCAGAAAGCCACCAACGAGGGAATCAACATCAAAGACACTGCAACAAGAAGCTCAAACTCAGAAACAGAAATAAACACCACCTCATCAATAAAAAAGAAAAAATAAGCACAGCCCCACAGAACAAGGGAAAACAACCAAAGAACAAAAATACTCGGATTTAATTCACGATCGCACGATATGTAAATTCTGCCCAAACGAGTTCAAAACAGTCAAGGAAGCGGAAAGTCAAGAAAACACAGCACACACAAAATTTAAACAGTGCAACTTCTGCAACGACAAAAATGTTCACACTAACATAACCAGGCACTACTATAAAGTTCACAACGCCGTTGTGACGTATGCCTCCCAAAAGACGGCATTCAGGTGCACGCAATAAATCACCATATCAAATCCATACCCATGGAGGAGAGTAAGGGAATGGACACTTAATCGATTGCTACTAAACCTCATTTTAGACGTTTTGTATAAGTTACATAATAGGGAAACACAGAAACGACAAGTATGTTGTAATTGGTATAAACATGTATAGAATGTAGACGTTTTGTATAAGTTACATTATGGTTTTTATCTGTATAAACATGTATAAAATTTTTAAAAAGAGTAAAAAAAGGTTATAAAAAACTCTATTAAAAAAATGGAAATAAATTCTCACTCTGAAAGCCGTGTCAATCTCCTGTATGGTGATCTGTCCGTTCATGTCGGTGTCCACGTTCAGGAACATGGCTGTAGCCGTCAGGTTGTATGGCTTTAGGTCAATTTGAGCCAGAGCCATGGCTGGCAGTACAATCAGAAGGGCGTAGAGAAGTGACATTTTTAGCTGATGAATAAATAGAAATACAATCAGAAGGTGTAGAGAAGTGACATTTTTCGCTGATGAAGAAATAAACTGTAAAATCAGAAGGGTGTAGAGAAGTGACATTTTTAGCTGATTAATAAAAACGATAAATTTAGAAAATTATTTTAAATAGGGAACCTTTGTTTAAAACAAATATTCTTAATCATAATGTTAACACAGTTGGGTTTAAGTATATTATTTTCTACGTATACAAAGTTTTTTTTTGTGTATGACTACATCAGTTTATGCTGTTTTTTTCTCTTTGTACCCTGCTTTTTTTCTAGGGTTATAATTTATTGATTAACGTCATAATGAAACAATTTATAAATTCCTAGTTCTTTATTCTTAAAAAGCACAATTATTTATGAACAGCCTATCGACTGTCAATGATTAAAATCTAATGCCAAAGCTTTAGTATATTGCATTGTAATTTTAAATCACAAAAATCCAGTATTTCTGGGTTTTAGTTCTTTTTACCTACTTCCAACAAAATCTTTCTGTTTTCTCAACCTTATTATATTAGCAATCTTAATGTTATTTGTTGTTTGCAAAATTTGTCAATATTCCGAGGAACATTTTTAATAGTGTATTTGTATATTATTATACATTTTGAATCTTTCCATTGCAGGATGTTTTAATCTAATAAGACACTTCTGTGTTAGTACAATACCTTTTTCCAAAGAATCTTCAAAATGAAAGTCATATAAATTTAACACACAAAAAAGCAATAAAAACAATCAGAATGTTAAATTGTAAACCGTTAAATGTCGCTTACCTCTGTATAATGCAAAACCTTAGACTAAAATTAAACTTAATTTACACCTATAATTTATTGATTTCAACTTACTTATTTATGCGTTACAAGTTTCCTTAAACTAAAAGGTTAAAGGCAGTTGTTTATCTTTTTATAACACCTTCAATCGTGATTAGACTCTCTTTTTAAATCTTTAAACCACTGGTAATACGTTTTATTTTTAATTCTACAGATAAATAAAAGAGATTTTTTCCATGAGAAATCTGTGCTATGACCGTTTGTTCACACAAACTAAAAGAAATATTTGAAAGTTCAGACAAAATTTGATAGAAATATTTGATAGTTCAGATAAACACTAACAGAAATATTTGACAGTTCAGACAAACTGCGATAGAAATATTGAACAATTCATACACGCTAAAATACATATTTGATAGTTCAGATAAAAAGCTAACAGAATTATTTGACAGCTTCGTCACACTATCAGAAATATTTGACAGTACAGACACACTGTGATAGAAATATTTGACAATTCAGATACATGCGAACAGAAATATTTGATAGTTCACATACAAAGAAATACAGAAATATTTGACAGATCAGATAAACATTAACATATATATTTTACAGTTCAGATATACACTAACAAAAATATTTTGCAGTTCAGATAAACACTAATAGAAATATTTGACACGAACCGACCCGCGGCGCAGCATACGCCGCTTTTTGTTTTATTTCCTACTTTTCAGTAAGTCATCATTTGTGAATTCGACATTTTTTATTTCGAATAGTAAACATTCTACATTACCCACAGCTCACTTGACTGTTGGGTTTTGGTGTGATTGCGATATGGTCTGTTGCGCATGCCTGGAGAGTGTGGGAGAGAGCGGGAGGAGGGTTAGATAGTCGGCTTGCGTCATGGGGGTGTACACGTAGAGACTTATATATATCGATAGATTTCAGAGACACTAACAGGAATATTTGACAGTTCAGAAACACATTGTGACGGAAAATTTAAACTATGAGAGTTAAGAAGAATTTAAATAGAAAAATGTGATGCACCGTACGAAATATTTTAATTAAAATGTGATGAAACAGTTAAGACACATTCTAATTTTTTTTTAAACAGTACGATTGAGACACTTTTAATTTAGATAAACGTGTGGATGAAATTAACACACAATCTACTAGAAAATATGAGGAGGCATTCAAAAAATGGCTTTCGTAGAAATATATGAAAACTAATATGCACGGATTTTTAAAAAATTTATAAATAATGTGAAGTTACAGTTAAAACAAATTATCTAACATACATATGTGACGATACTGTTAAAACACACAATGTAACAGTAATATGTGATGTTACAGTTAAAACACACAATCTAACAGATTATTTGATGTTACAGTTAAACGCAGCCTAATTTTTTTTTTAAATGTCAATGGGAAAAAATGACATACACTAAATGAACCAGGTTCCCTATTTAATTTAAGATTTGAAGTAAAATCTCCAATACTGAATACAAGCTCTTTCATAATGTTGAAATTGTTACGTGAAAAATGCATAAAAAACGTTTTAATAACAAGCTTTTATGTAATAATGCACCTTAACTGTAACTCTATTTCTTACTTTAACTCAACTCTAATCCTAACCATAAACCCAAGCTGAAGTCTAACTTTTACCCTAACGGTTACCCATAACCCCAGTCCAAACATTAACTTTATCATATCACTAAGCGCATTGCTATCCTTATATCTCAAGAGTTTCTTTCACCTCCTCCCACCCCGTAAATTTAAAGCCCCCCCCCCCCCCCCCTCTCCACTGTATATATTTTTCTACTCATATTTTTTTTTTCTCTGCTCATATTTTTTTATCCATTTCCCTATCCTTATTCAAATTAGTTATTGACCCGTCGATGGAGATAAAGAGTCCTACAGCAGATTTAAGGCGTTAGAGGGTTAATTTACAGGAGTATTTGACAGCACGCGGAGGTAATTGATCTAGAGATAATGAAAGGGAGACGACCGAGTTAAAACAATTTTCCGACTTCTATTGAAATCGGAGCTAATCTATATATTTTTTCCTGTGATATTGATTTTAAAATTACTAACTTAATAAATTCATAATGGCTGAAGATTTGGTTGTCGTCGCTGTCCATCAAGGCGAAGAAGTTGTCAAAGTCGTGGTGGTCAAGCTGGTCATCGCTGACCTACTTGGTGACGTCGCAGAGGGCGTGGGAGAGAGAATGTAAGGCCGGGTTGGCGTTGTCGATGTAATGGTGTATTCTAGCCTGCTGACTCGGCCGTGTCGTAAAACTGTAACAATAAATCATGTGATGTGTTACTGATAAAGTATTTCAAACTAGGAAATAGTTTTAATAATTTTAATAAATTTTAATGTGAAATGTTTGCGTTAGTGTTTGCGTTTTCGTTTGTATTTTGTTTTGTGTCTGTGTTTGCGTTTTTTTTTGCGTTTGCATTTCCATTTGTGTTTGCGTTTATGTTTGCGTTTGTGATTACATTTGAGTTTGCGTTTGCGTTTTTATGTGTTTATGTTTGTGTTTGTTTTTGCAGTGTGTTTGAGTTGTGTTTGTGTTTTCTTTTGTGTTTGTGTTTAGTTTTGTTCTGTTCCATAGTTGATTCATTTAAAAAAGATTCACCGTAGAGGAGCACTGGTATGCAGCTAGTTTATATATAATATGTTACTAAAGGATGTTATTGTTCCCCCATGATATAGAGATAAGCTCTAGGAGTGTTTTACACTGAAGTTGTAGTTTTCGATTGCTTATTGTAGCCAAAGTTACCTACTGAGTACTCACTGCTCACCGGTCAACTTGACCAACCACTCACCACAAAACTCTGATTCAGTTCCCTGAGTTCAATAAACCCGTCCGGGTTGCCGTCGACGGCCGCGAACATGACGGACGCCGTGGTGTTGTACGGCCTGAGGACTGACAACCGAAAGGCCAAGACCATCAGGAATACGAAGATGAATAGCACAGCGGACATCCTTTTAAAAACAATGTTTATAAAAACAAGACCAACAATGTTTTTTAACGCGTTTCCTGTAAAGTTAAAAAAATTATTTATACTTTTATCTATGTGGTCAGTTCAGACATCTCTCTGGAGAGGAGCACGCCCACATACCCCGGTCCGCCCTTTCCAACTACCCCTGTCGAGACGAAATCGAAAATTCGTATGGAAAATGTAAACTCTAGCTATAGTTTTTCCCACTACCCCAACCTCCAAAGAAAAATATCTGAAAGAAAAATTATAAAACGCTTAAATTATTATTGCATTAGCCGTTATAAAAGCATTTAAAATCGTCTGGTGTTATTTGAGATTTCTTTTAGTTTGTGATTTGAACCGTAGAGCTACAGGATAAAGTAATGAGTTTTACACTGCCACCACCATTACCCAGTGCATTTAAAAATATTGTAATTTGTTTTATTTAAATGGTGTTTACTTTTTTTAACATTAAAAACATATTATATTCTGCTAGAAAATAACATCTGACGCAATATTAGCTAAGTACTTTTGTAAATTTTAATAATCTCCACAGCCTTGTAGAAATATGACAATGAGATTGAAATAGGATCGTATGTAGACCTACCAAACAACTCTCAGCAGTAATAAAGTAAGGATTCGTGGAGTTTAAAGAGTAAAATAGTTTTTCTATGTTAGAAATAAGAAATGGATGGCGCTTAACGCAGATGACAGATTCGTAGTTAGAATTTTAAGACTGCACTCAAATTATTTTCTTTATTTTGTTTTACTTACATGAGAACCAACAGATTGGAGATTGTGCCAAATCTTTACAACGGAAACATCTTATCTCTAGTGGCCCATTTCAGGTTGTTGTTTTTTTAAATATCTATGTCTGAAGTTTTGAAAACTCTTAGTAAATTAAACTTCCACCTATTGATCTAAGTGCTAATGAATCACCCACAGAGTTACGAATAAAACTATCATTTTTAAAATCCTGATGTATGCTCTTATCTGAAAGCGCGTGAAAAACAACCCGTTGGTTAGAACTTTCCGTTTCTGAGTGGTCTTTGGTCAAATTTGAGTGTATGGGGGAATTGGAAAATATATACTCTTCTTATACAATTTTTTTCACACTTTTTTAAATGAATTATTCACATTATTCTTAATTATTTCTAACATGTTTCTTAATAATTTTTTTCACACCTTTCCTATTGAGTTTTTCACACTTTTCTTAATGACTTTTTCACATTATTCTTAATGATTTTTTCACATATTTCTTAATGATTCTTTTTAAAAATTATTTGTTTATACTTTTAATTGATTTACTCACAATTTTCTTATTGTGGATTTAAACAGATATTCGGTTTGATCGATTTTCTACATACGCAAAAACAAACACGCATATATATATATATATATATATATATATATATATATATATATATATATATATATACATATATATATATATATATATATACATATATATATATATATATATATATATATTCGGAAAAAAAGTGTTTTAAAAAAGGACAGAAACTTCTTAAGAGGTGTAAAATCGTGATTTTCTTTTTTTTCAAAAATCTTTGTCACCTGTAATTACATGATTCCTTATCAGGTGAGACGAGAGAAACCTAATCTTTTACTAATTGGCAATAAAGACGGGAGTTTTTGACTTTTTAAAACTAGATTAGGCTGTGGCAACACTGTCTTATGTGATATTTCACACGTATCCCCCACCCTCTTATTTGGATATTTGTTAGTAAGTTAATTGATTATTTGGGTATTTGCTAGTAAGTTAATTAATTATTTAGGTCTTTTCTAGCTAGTAAGTTAATTAATTATGTGGGTATTTGTTAGTTTACCAATTGATATTTGTATCGGGATTTATTGAACTGCTCTGGATTAAGATTGCTATCCACTTTATAATTTGTCTCTGAATTATCCCAATTTCTAAATATTCTAATCAACTGAAAATTCAAAACCTAAGAATAAAATAGCTACAACAAATGGACAAAAACATCTAATTTAAAATATGTTCCATAACAGAAAGTCACTACATCGCTACACTTTTTCATTTTGTCACCAAACATTTAGTCCTTGGAGAATTATTCTACCTATGTATATGACACATCACAATAAACTATAACGATACGAATGTTAGAATATTTGAAGGGAAACGTTTATTTTATAAATATACTAAAACATCGATCTATCGATATGGCTTTATGGGTGAACGACGACATTCTTCTAGTTGGGGGCGTGAAGGTGCTCCAGCTCAGTTAAGAGAATTGTCCAGTACCTGTGGAACAAACGTTCAAATTGTTGTATGGAACGATATAATTCATAGTTTTAAAAAAATAGCTTTATCACAGGTATGGGATGACATGGTTGAGCGGTTGAGCGCACGACTTTGAACCCGAGTCTTAGTTTGGCAGTGCGATGCGTAGGTTTACCCCACCCCTCATTAGAAATCATGGGTGGGGGGAGGTTCAGAAAAAAATTTTAAATGTACTTAGGCATATATATATTTTTTATATCAAAGGAAACGTCTCAGTTTAACACTGCCAGAAATATATTACCTGACGAATTCGAAATGGCTAACGATTCCGCTTCCATCACCATCCATCAGTTTGTGGAAGTTTTCGAAGTCGTGAAGGTCAAGCTGGTCATCGCTGTCCACATCGTAGATGTCGTAGAGGGCGTGGGAGAGGGGGTGGAGCTCGGGCTGGTGGGCGTCCACGTAGCTGGTGTACTCTTGTCTGCTGACTCGGCCGTTATGGTTAGCGTCATAGCCCTGGGTTTATAATAGTTTTCATCAGGGTCGTGTGTAGAAGAAATATGATTTGTAATATGTAAGTGTTAGGGTTATATAGTGGTGTATTATTATATATTTCAAGAAAATCATTTATTTTCTACTTTTTCGTGCAGTATTACATAAAAGCTTGTTATTAAAACGCTTTCTATGAATGTGTTTACAACTTTTATTTAACTTGCTTCCCGGTCCTGTCCTATCTGTCGTCATGGATTGAAACGTTCTTGCGAAATTTTGGGCATTTCTAACTTACAGATTCGTTTCAAAGTTGGCACGTGGGTCAAGACTTGAAGACAATGCAACATGATTTAAGTGTATGACTAATTAACTTTTTATGAATTAGGTAATATTTTATTTTTATTAGTAGGCAATCTCATCCAACTATTCCGCACTCTTATACGCGCGTTATCATGTTCATTAGGTACGCAATAGCTTTTAGTCATGCAGCTCTAATGTAAATAAAAATTTTAAAGTACTAAAAACTTGCATGAAAAACGTTTTAATAACAAACTTTTATTGTAATAATGCAATAACAAGGAAAAAATAAATTATTTATTTTCTTTAAATTTATTAAACTAAACTACTATTTAAATAACTATATAGAAACGTTTTAGTATTTAAAAATTGATTAAAAATCATGTCTATACACCTAGTATCCATCCACCGTACTGTTATTTAAGAATATTCGACAAAGTTTAGGGGAGATCACTCCCGCTGTATTTAACTGGGGCTTGGATGTGTTTTGACATTTTAAAAAACGTGAAAAAGCATTAGTTTTTTTTAGATTTTTAACTCGATTAAAAAAACTGAACATAAATTCTCACCCTGAAAGACGCGTCAATCTCCTGTAATGTGATCTCCCCGTTCTGGTTCGTGTCAATGTTCAAGAAAAGGGCTGTGGCTGTCAGGTTGTATGGCTTCAGGTCGACTTGAGCCAGAGCCATGGCTGGCAGTACAATCAGGAGGGCGTAGAGAAGCGACATTTTTAGCTGATGAATAAAACAGACATACAATCAGAATGGCGTAGAGAAGCGACATTTTTAGCTGATGAATAAATAGACAGTACAATCACAAGGCATAAAGAAGCGACATTGTTCAGCAACTCAATAGACAGTAAAACCACAAGGCATAGAGAAGCGACATCTTTTTCAGCTGCTAAAAATAGACAGTACTATAAGAAGTGCGATGAGAAGCGATATTTTTGCTGCTAAATTACAACATTAGATTTTGAAAATTATTTTAAATGCGAAAACTTTTTCTAAAACAAATAGTCTTATCTAATAACGAATGTCAACACGGTTTATGTTCAGTATATTTTATTTTGTATATAATAAATTTATTTCTGTATAACTACATCAGTTTGTGTTGTTTTTTTCTATTTACTTTCATTTTTTTGTGTAATGTTATAATTTCTTGAATAACGTCGTTAGTTTATTGCCTTGTCTGTAATCGTAAATGTCATAGTATTTTCTTGATTTTAGTGTATTTTTACCTACTGTTAACAACACCTTCATGTTCTGTCTCCTCAACCTTACCATAGTAGCATATTTAATCTTTTTTTTATCCCTAGGAAATTTATTAAGAACATTATTTATTTGAATACTTAAAATCTTGCCATTGCAGGATGTTTTACCAAACACTTCTATGTCAATGGCATACCTAGATTCAGCAAAAACTTACAAATAACAGTCACATTAAAGGGAAAAGGACATAATCAGAATGATAAATTGTAAACCAATAAATATCGCTTACCTCTGTATAAAGTAAAAACCTTAGACTAGAATTAAACTAAATTTACACCTATCATTTATTGTTTTTAACTTACTTGTTTATGTGTTACAAGTTCAGTAAACTAAAGATTAAAAGCTGCTTTTTATCTTTTTATAACACCTTAGATCGTGATTAGATTATCTTTTTTTTAAATCTTGAAACAACTGACAATATTAACAAGTTTTTTTTTAATTCTGCAGATAAATATCAGTCAATTAGTTCATCAGAAAACTGTGGGCGTATGTTCACACATTAACAGAAATATTTGACAATTCTGTCACATATTTTGACAGAAAAGGTAAAATGTCAGTTTAGAAGCATTTAACCAGCATGATTTGACGTAACAGCTAAGACATATCTTAATATAAAATAAAATATGTAACTAAATCGTTACGACACATTCTAATTGAAAAATGTATCGACACGATTAAGACACATTTTATTTAGAAATACGAGCGGGTGCAGTTAAGACACATTATATAATAGAAAATATTGACGAATCATTTAAGACACGTATGTTAATATGAATAAAAGACAGTTTAGATACACGCATTAATTTTTTTTTAATTACAAAATATTACAGAAATATGTGACGTTACAGTTAAAAAACACACACAATGTAACTGGAATATGTGACGTTAACCTTTAAAACACATAATCTAACATGAATTTAAGACGTTAGTGTTAAAGCGCATCCTAATTTTAAATTTATCCCCTAGCAGTAAAGACATACACTAAATGAACCAGATGCCCCACTTCATTTATAATTTGAAGTAGTATCTACAAGCTCTTTCAAAATATTGAAATTTAAACGAAATAGGTATTAACGAATGCAGATCGATTGTTGAAGAAAAAAAATATTTCTGTTCCGTTTTATCTATTGCCTTAGCCACCATAGGGTGTCGTTCGATTTACAATACTAGCTAATTTAATAAAGCGGGAGTGATCTCCCCGAAACTTTCACGAACATTCTTATATACCATTATGGGGGATGGCATATAGACATGATTTTTAATCCATTTTTAATTACTTAAACTTTAAAAAAATAGAAACTCGTAGAAAAATAAATTGCGCTCCAAGTGAACGACAAACAACATGTGTATTATAGATTATAGTGCGGAATATTACTACTTTATAAATTCATATGGATTTTTGAGAAATCGAAAATAGCGTAAATTACTAGTTCCGATCAACGGAAATTACTCAAAATTTGAAAGATCGCAGTAAATTAGATTTTCTAGTTGTATTTGAAATTTCATATATCTATCTGAAACAGTACTCAAGTTATAGGCTTTTGAAAAACCAAAAGTAGAATTTGTTCCATTTTCGGTTATCAGAAATCCCTGAAAAGTTGATACAGAACTACAAATTTGAAATAGTACTTATAAATGAAATTTCATCAACCTAGCTGTAACGGTACTCAAGTTATCGTGTTCAGAGATATACACACACACTCACACAAATACGTACATACATACATACATACATACATAAATACACACACAGACATACAGAAGAAATTGCAAAACTATGTTTTTCCGACTCAGGGAGATGTAAAACGTCGAAATTTGTGAAAATCTCGATTTTTTTTTTGCACGATTATAATACTTCCTCTATACTTTTTATACGTAAAGTAAAAATGACATCTTCAACAATATATTGAAGGGTGTTTTCTCCAACCTAATTAAATATGAAATCTACGTGTCACTATTTTATGCTCCATATAACCCTTTTATTCAGACTTCAACTTGCATTTCTTTCCGGATTCGTTTCCATTGCCTTTGCACGTCCCAAAAAAGATGCTTGACGGTGCTTGTTTGATTTTAGAGTTTTCTCTACTAATTGAATTGCTTTCCCTGGCGTACGAGCCTCGTGTGGGCATAAATGGATAATCACTAAAATTTGTTATGATCTTAAATAACGAATATTTCTCCGGCTTAATAAAGTTCAATGTGAATGCTAACGTTTGAAAACATAATATTTAGTTATTTTGTTTATTCATAATAAATCAAGAATTTACAAAGAATGTTCAGGAAAACATGTTGACGAATTTCTTCAGATTTGTTTTGCTTTGTTTGGTTTTTTTTCTTAAAATTCTGCAAGAGTTCATCAAAACAGTGTCCGGCATCAGTTTGGCGCGTGAAGGTGTTCCAATTCTTCTAGCAGGATAGTCCAGTACCTGAAGGAAAATATATTCATATTATACAACAAATCTGTAGAATATTTAACAAACACAAGCTTTTAACTTTCTTAAAACAAGTTAACAAAACACACATATATGAAAAATTAGATAAATATTTTAGAGTCAGGGACGAACAAGCATGTTAGGCTTACACTCACAATCTCTAACCTTAACTCTAACTCTATTTCTAGGTTTAACTCAACTCTAACCCTAATCTTAAATCTAAGCTGAAGTCTAGTCTTTACCCTAACTGGTAACTCTATCGTATTCCTAAGCGCTTTCCTACCCGTATCCCTATATGTGTAAAGTTTCGTTCACTGCAAACCCACCCCGGATTGTGGATTAAGTCCTACAGTTGATTTCGGGGGGAGAAGTGTAATGTACAGGGGGAGGTATTGACAGCCCGAAAGATGGGGGGGAGGAATTGATCTAGAGGTAATGAAGGGCATATGACCGGGATAAAACAATGTCCCGTGTTCTATCGAAATTGGATCTAATGTATATTATTCATGTGATACAGATTTTTTAAAAAATTACTAGCCTGACGAATTCATAATGGCTGACGATTTGGTTGTCGTCGCTGTCCATTAAAGCGAAGAAGTTGTCGAAGTCGTGGTGGTCAAGCTGGTCATCGCTGTCCACGTCGTAGATGTCGTAGAGGGCGTGGGAGAGGGGGTGTAATGCCGGGTTGTGGTTGTCGATGTAGTTGGTGTATTCTAGTCTGCTGATTCGGCCGTTGTTGTTGGTGTCGTAGAACTGGAACAAGAAATTTTCTTTGGTACTATCGATAAAGTAGGAAATTGTTTAAATTATTTCAATAAATTTAAATGTAAAATTAATCATGTAGAAAGATATTTTTTGCAAGTGCGATTGCGAGCATGTGTGTGTGCGTAAGTGAATGTGTGTTTTTGTGCGTGCGTGTGATTGTTAACGTGTATGGTGTGTGTATGCGTTTGTGCTTGTGCGTTTAAGAGTGTGTGTGTAGGATGGTGTGTCGGTGTTTGTGTATATGTTTTCTTGTGTGTGTTTATTTCTGTATTGATTCGTGTGTATAATGATTATGTGTGTGTGCATGCTGCCAAATTCGTGCTGGTGTGTTTGTGTGTACGTGTGTGTGTTGTGTTTGTGTTGTCACATACTCGGAATGCCAGATCAATTTCCTGTCTGGAAACCTCGCCATTTCTATTGTCGTCGTAGTTCAGGAAAAGGGCAGTTGCCGTGTAGTTGTAGGGCTTCAGGTCAATCTGGGCATATGCCAGGCAGGGCAAGAGGAAGACAAGGGCATACTGCAGTGACATGATGGAACTTTTACCTAAAAATATGTATATAATCTAATAGGCTTATGAAATATAATAATTTAGTATGAATAAATGCGTATTAGTTGTACATATATATAAGTTTAAAAACATTTTTAAAAGAATATTCCTATAAGATAACAATAAATGAATTAAAAATGAATATTTTTATCAAAATGCATTATCTATAAAGTTACATTTTTAGATATTTTTTTTTGTATTCTAATTTAGCAAATCCCATAAGAATTAGAATGTTAGCCCCCAAGTATTATTAGTGTCAAGTTACTTCTAGTGTTTTAACTTGACACAGACTGCATTTTATGCTGCGTTACACACTCTTTTGTATTTGTCATTTGTGTCTATTTATTGATCATAATACACGGTGTCAAAATTTGCAATACGTCAAAATGTGTCTTAGGCGTGGAGAGGTGTGACACATAGCCCTGGACACACCACTCCGTGGTACCCCAACGACCCCAAAAAGTGTTAAGGGATCATTTCTTACACATTATGTTGAGGGACTAATTAATTTAGATAGAATCTATATTAAAAGTATGAAGTTCATTTTAACACATATTGTGGCGTGATCGAAGACTCTACTTTGCTCGTGAAGAAGAAATATCTAATTAACGTAAATATTTTTTTTATAAATTAGACAATGGATCAAAATATCAAACACATTAAAATGTTTCTTAATATTGAAATAAGTTTACTATTTCAAAATAGATAAATAAACCGACGACCTAATTAGCTAAAAATTAATACTGCAATAATATTCCAATTTACTTATTTTAAAATTATAATTTGTTGTTAGAGGAATATGAAATAAGAACCAGTACAAAATACTAACCTGTTTTTAAATTTCCTTTCAAGCGTCAGCTATCGCGCAATGATTATCTAACTTGTTTCTATTTATGGAAAGAAACCACGTGATTAATTTTTACATAAACGGTTGAAATGTTTAATGGATTTTTTTAAAGCATGGGATAAAATGGTGGCGGAAAAAGTACAGGTTGTGATGAACTTAGATAATGTAGTTCTAACTAATTAATGTGATTAACTAATTGCGATAACGTTTTTTTAAACTCGGTTTGAGCATGTTTAATTAGTTTAGATCACTTAAAATTCATTTAAAATAGGCATCATAGATATTTTTTGCAGCTCGTTTGGACTAATGAACGATGAAAAGGGAAAGGGTTAGGGTTGATGTCACAGTTTGTGTTAGTGTAAGTGCAGTATTTAGGATTAAATTAATGGGGGCTCGAACCATGCAAATCCACATTTATATGTGATGCTATTTTCTGAATACTTGGGCCTTTTGACTGATAAAGACTACAGTGTAAATAATAGTAAAGGTTGTTTTTTTTTACAATACACTGACTATATACATCACAGTGGTAAATGATGGTACAGTCGCAGATACAAATAACCGCTGCAAGAAATAATTGATAAGAAACTAAAATGAACTTATCTCAAAACAAACAGGTGTTGTTGTATTTTTTTTTAACATCAGTCTGTCTGGCCATGTGAGAAAAAAACAGGTGGCCAAATCACGATGGAAACTCTCTTATCTTTAATGAAATTAAACTGTTTTTTTTAAACGGCCGTTTCTTCCAGGCGTTCGCACCCCCCCCCCTCTGGAAATGTTAACTGCGCCCCTTCGCCGTCAGTTCTAAATGCAACTCCCCCTCCTACCCACCCTTGAGAAAAATGTCTGGAAAAAATAACATGATTTTTAATTCTGTAATTTAAAACTTATGGTTCGTAAAAAGAACGAGACAGATCCAATATTAATGCAAATCCATGAACCTAAACAGGTCATTTGCTAGTACAATGACACGTTGATCTTTTTTTTCAGAAATCTCTGGGTCATCGACCCGGCTGGTTGTACCAGCTAATAGAGTTCACACATGTTAAATATGAATCATTTGGATTAGAAGTCAGTTTTTTTTTCAATTTGTTTCGCTGTACAGTTTAACCCGAACAGCACTTATGAGATACATTTAGACTCGCACATTTGGTTAAAACACGCGCGATGAATGCATTCATTCATCTATTTTTTTTTAATTGTTTCTTTTTACGCATGTTGAACTGCAACAAAGTCCCCCCGCTCCTGTTTGTTTTTGGCAAGCTTTCTTGGTCGCCCCCAGTTTTTGTCTGATATCTACATTTAACTTTCTACTGATTGAAACATTTACTTCGATTTGAAAGTGAGCCAAATAAGGTTATTTTACTTTCATCAATGAAGACCGTCCCTAAGTCCACCCAACTCTGATTGGTACCTAACCCACATTAGGGAAAGAAAAGGCGGCTGAGCATAGTGCTGACCACACTATCTCTTCATATGCCGAAGTCACAGAAACAAGTGAACTCTACTTCACTTGTCCTATGGACCGTCAAATTTGAAAAAAGAACTTTTTTTTTACTTTCATCATTCTTTAAAAAATCCTGAATGATAAAAAGCAGCTACGAGCTATATTCAAATGAAGAATTTTAAACCAAGTCTTGATGTTTGACTGGTGGTCAGTGAGTACACCAAATTGTGTGGTTAATATTATAATTTTATAACTATAGCTTACTATTTTTAAAAATACAAAAGTATTTGAAAAAATTTCAGAATTAGAAAATTCGCATCATTATTCTACGTAAGCTCCTTAAACTCGTTTTTGTTGTGTTTATCTGTTAAAATGTTTTAGAATCATACAGACTAGATAAGATAGACTGCAATCCATTGGTACTCTCGGACTGATTCTTGCTTCTTTCTTGTTTTTTTTTTTTTTTTTTTTTTTTGAGCTTTTATTTAGATCTCAACGTCTGTTAATTAGTTTGTTTGTTTGTGGTTTTGTAGCAAATCTTGTGACTCAATTTTGACCCACTTGTAAAGCAGCGATTTCCTACAAATTTGATACCCTCGAACTGATTCTTGCTTCTTTCTTGTTTTTACAAGCTTATATTTAGTACACACCGTTTGAAGGTTAATTCGTTTGTTTGTTTGTTTGTTTGTTTGTTTGGTTGGTTGTGGGTTTGTGACTAATCTTGTAACGTTATTTTGAACCACTTCCAAAGCAGAGATTTCGTTCAAATTTTCCAGCTCCGTTAAACATTGATGACATTACAAGTCTATCTATTTTTTAAATTTCAATAGATGTTTAACTATTCGTTAAAAGTCATTTAAACGGTTTCGTTTAACAAAATTAAATCATTCGATAGATTACTTTATTCAATAACAGAAGGGGGATTAACTAACTAGACGCGATCACCCTAACAGTCTGGAGAGTTGTGGTTCATGAGAATGCTTACTATCGTAGAGCCGGCCGATCTAGTGAAGGCTATATGGGGCAGATAATAGACGATTTGAAACTAAGGGGTAGGGGGTAGCAAGATTAAGAACTATCCTTCGCTTTATCAGCTTGCTGTTGATGGTAAATTAGGTTCACATGGCAGATAATCATCTTTTAGAAATTGCGAGCACGGATTGTGTTTTAAGGCAAATATTTTTAGTCGTGTCGACTTCATAAAATAGGAGTCACTAAAAAGTAAAAACAATTAAAAAATATTTTTTAAAAAAACGTTTATAGCAACAAGTTTTAATGCACTTAAACCTTTCAAGGAGTAGAAGGGGCGGTATACATTCTGCCGCGGGTGGACGCCCGTAAAAGTATTTATTTTTTAAATAAATTAATTTTCGTTGGGGGGGGGGGGGGTAAACTTGCGTCTACTTAGATTAATTATGCCGCGTTTTCATTCATTATTAGTGTAATTGAATTATTGAATAAAAAGTATAGACATTAATTGCAAGTATATATTTAGCCGTCGAGAACAAATAATTTAATTAAAATGAATAAATATCAAATTTCGTTGTTTCTCTGTTTTCTGTGTCAGGTTTAGAAAGAAAGTGCAACATTTTAAAAGGATACGTCAAAAACAAAATCCATTTAAAATAAAGGTTTTTATATAAGAGTTCATTGTAATTAGCGATTGTTAAAAGCCTCTATATGAGAAGTAAAAAAAAAATATTTTTTTTTTCATTATTAATTATTTTTTTACTTTTTTTGCACTTAAATCTAAATGAATGGATGTTCATTCTTTTAGAAGCTGTTAGTTTTTAACCTGAAGTTTATACTAAAAAAAAAGTCAATAATGTTTTCTGTAACGTATCAAATTGACGTTCGTTGACGAGGCTTAGTTTAACATTTGTCTTTCTCTGCAGTATATTTGTTCGTTGTTTATGATGGGAAGCTTAACATCTGCCAGGTCAACTGTTTAAAACGTTATCGTTAAAATTGGGTTTGGTAGATTTCCTTTATTCAGTAAGAAACATTCGAAACTTCAATGCAAGGTACTTAACCCGAATCACTTAGCTTAAGAAATTAATAATGTTACACAGTTTTGAAAAACAATTTTAAAAATATAATCAATCTAGAGTCTAATTTTTTTATATACGTAAAATATTTTATTATAATTCAAATGCAGCGTTGATGCTTTTTAATTATTTAGTTTTAGCTTTTTCTTTTGCATTTGAGGTTGTACGTTTCTTTTTGTATATTTTCTAATCCATTCTTTCAAAATACAGCTAAGTTATTGACCAAATTTATCTAAAACAATGTAAAGCATCTAATCTAATTCAAACTAAAACTAAAATAACTATTTAGCTAACAAATAAATATTTTAGAAGAACAAAGATGTATACGTATACATTTAAGAATTTATTTTTTTGAAAGATTTTAAAAAGCTTGGGTCACGATACCCCGACGTAAATTCAGTTAAATTGCTGTGCACTTACAGTATTAAAATCAGTTCATTGCTTCTTATCAAATCTGTAACACCTTATGTTACTAAATCGATATAAAACCTTGTGCACACACGCTACGCAGTGAATCAACTACTTCATGCAGTTGCCATTAATCGCAGTCGTGGATGTCCTGAAATTAATCTCCTATATTGACAATCAATATGTCAATGGTCTCTTTATAATATACATGTACTCATTTATATGTATATATATATATATAT